AGCTTCCTGGGAATATAAATAATATATAAGGTCACTGCTTTAAGTCATTGATTTTTTGCAGTTTCAGAAATATGCTATATAGGAAAGCATTTATTTTATATAAACAAAATGTAGTATAAGAATTAACTATCAAACAAGCTGCATGTAAAAGGAAAGCAGGAAACTTAGAAATGAGGTTATCATCAGAGAGTAAAATCATACCATTCTTACCTAGGTGATATTCAACTTTCTCACAAATGGCATAATCTATCATATTCATTTTCATCCCGTATCCAACTGTTTACTGGACTTTACCAGATATTCCCCGAAGCACTTGATACATATTTTGCCCAAAGTGGAATGCATGATTTCAGTTAATTGTGCCCTTTTTCAGATACTGAAATCAGAAATATTGAAACCATTTTAACGTCTTTCTCAGCCCTATTAGTATTTCTCCTTTCCCAGCAATCGACTTTTATTAATTCGCCTGATCAGTTACCACTACTTGCCGGTTACTATCTTCTAGACACTATTTTAAAGTTCCTGCTATGTGTTTACTAATTTATTTCTTTCAGAAATCGTGAAAGATAACAAAAATAACGGCAAAGTACAAAGAATGTAATTACTTTTCCATAGTCCCATGTGGGTAAGTGAAAATTGTTTATCAAGAGCTTGTTATATACATGTTCTTCCTTGGCAGTACCTTACGGCTTAACGTCTGTCTACTCAAGGTTCATGTCTGTTCAGATGTTTTATGTAAAATACAGCCTAGTCATACTTTATCCTTTGAAAAGCTTCCCAGTTTTGTTACCATGATAGTAAATTGCTGAGCCCTCCCTGGTGACTCAACGGATTAAGGTGAAGCACTATGCATGCTTTTCAGCGTGATTTTGATCTCCTCTAGCCCCAGTCAGGGGGGTGACCCACATGGTCAGCAGACTTCTTCTGTCTCACCCGTTGCTCTCCTCAGCAGTGTACTTTGTCAGTCTGCCTGTTTTGCTCCCCACTCTGTCTCTGGTGAATCCTCTCATCCCTGCACCTCTGGTCTGTACCCCAGTTCTGTATACACAACTAATTAAATCTTATTAAAAAGTTGCTTAGCATGATGTACAAGGAAATTTGTAAATATTTATTAAGGCTTTTGGTCAAAGATGGCATTTAAGGATGTTCCTTGCTTTTCTCCCAGGAAAATAATCAGAAAGTTAGCCCACACTAGTGTTCTACCAAAAGGTCCTTTGGCTTGGGGAAAAATCTCTTGGATATTGGAGATTGGCACAAACGCCAGAAAACACATTGAGGAGTGACATGCTTCATTTAGCAAGAGGTGGATGAAGAGAAATGCCTGGAAATTGTGGTCCTGGGTGGGAGGTACCTTAAAAACTATGGCTTTGGCCCTCGCTTGTGGCGCGGGTTAAAGCACAGCACTGAGAATCTTAAGCTACTTCCGCATGAGTTGGGTTCCCGCCTGCCCCGGAGGTGACCACATGCCATGGCAGACCTCTCCTGACCCTCCCGCTGCTCCCCTCAGCAGTGTACTTCGTCGATCTGCCTGTTCTGCTCCCTGCTCTGTCTCTGGTGAATCCTCTCACCCTCCGCATCTCTGACCTGTACCCCAGTTCTGTATGAATAAATAAATATTTAAAAAACAAAAACAAACAAACAAAAAAACTATGGCTTTACCACAAAATTTACAAGGCCAGTGAGGAGAGGTCTAATTGATATGGAGACACTTATCATTGACTGAGGGGGATATATGTGCTAAAGAGCTGGGGTATTCCTAGAATCCAGGTCCACAGTGAATGGAACAATGAATGTGAACTGGCATTGTTCCACATCTCCCACCCCTCCCAGCTGGTACTAACCTTGTCTGGCACACTGTTGGTGTGCAGTCTATAGAGATTGGACTCTGGACCACGGAAGGGAAGAATATCAACAGTGTCACAGGCATGAGTCAGCACCCAGCCCCCACCTCCACAGCATTCAGGCACAGTCTCGTCCCTTGATTCAGCAGATGCAAGATTGTGTCTTTAGATCTACGATAGCTTGGAAAGGCCAAACATCTTAAATAATATAACTCTGGGGACAATTTTAAAACAACAAACAGTGCCAGCTACTGGAAGAGTGGTACCACAACTCTCTAAAAGTACTATAGACTCTAAAAAAATAGATATGCTTTTGATAGAAAATATAATACATGGCGTCTTGATGCTCAAGGAAATATGTCATCACAAAGAAAGAAAAACCTTCCCTAATAAAACCACAAAAGCATGGAAAATTTTATCCTTCTATAAGGTATAGGTAATTCAAAGAAATTAAAAAAAACACAGGACTAATTATAGCGATATAAGAAAACTCAGAAAATAAATGAATGGCCTGATAAATGTAATTAATGAACATAAAAGAGAAATTGAAGCTTTAAATAATAAAATAATTGATACAAAGTATAAAGAGATCTACTGGGGAGGGGGAAAAAATCTGAAAGCTACAGAAGTAAGAGTTGACCAATGATGTGTGAAGTTGATATGTGAGCATGATAGGGACAAAATACCAAGGTGGAAGAAGAAAAAGAAATATGAAGAAAAATGTGAACAAGTAGTTCAAGAATTATCTGACTCCATTACATAAGGTAATATGAGAATATCTTCATATCCAGAAGGAAATGAGGAAGCAGAGAAGGGCAGAGAAATCTTATGTAAAGAATTAAAGGAAGACTTCCCAAAATAAATATACAGGTCCAGAAAGCTAAAATAACATCTTGTTATCTATATGTCATGAGGCCTATGCCAAGACATATAGTGTGAAACTACGAAGAAGTTAAGACAAAGAACAAATATTGAAAGTGGCTAGAAAAAAGGACAGTAATCTGTAAAAGTACTCCCTCCCCACAGGCCCACATCAGACTTTTCTGAGGAAACCAATGGAAAAGGAAAGAATGGAATTGAAATATTCAAACACACAAATACACTCTTTAAAAAGTCTGAAGGAGAAACTGTAAGACCTTCCTAGACAAAAAGAAAATGTAGGAGATTTTTGTTTGTTTTTAAAGTTTTTATTTATTTTTTCATAGAACTGGGGTGCATACCAGAATTACATGGGGGTGAGAGGATTCACCAGAGACATAATGGGGAATAAACCATGCAGATCAACTTAGATAACTAAGAGGAGCAGCACGTGAATCTGGAGATATCTGCTGTACCATGTGTGTTAGCTCCCTGACTGGGGATGGAATTCAGGTTGTTGCAGTGGGCTTTCATGGTAGTAGCACTGAGACTTAACTTACTACATTAGCCAGGGAAGCGCTGATGTAGAAGTTTTTCAAACTAGACCTCTTCTATAAGAAATGTTGAAATGAGTCCCTCCCTGGTGGCAGAGCGGGTTAAAGCACAGCACTGAGAAGCTTAAGCCACTTCAGCATGAGTTCGATCCCCGCCTGCCCTGGAGGTGACCACATGGTGAGGCAGACCTCTCCTGACCCGCCTGCTGCTCCCCTCAGCAGTGTACTTCGTCAATCTGCCTGTTCTGCTCCCTACTCTGTCCCTGGTGAATCCTCTCACCCTCCGCATCTCTGGCCTGTACGTATCAATAAATAAACCTTTAAAAAATGCAAAAATGCTGATTCAAAGGGATAGATGAATTACTGTGTTCATTGCAGCACGGTTTTCAATAGCCAAGCTATGGAAACAACATAAGTGCCCAAGGACAGATGAGTGGAGTAAGAAAATGTGGTTTAGGGACATGTGAAATATTACTCAGCTATAAACATAAATGAACTCTTTCATCAACTCAGAGAGGGGATTATGCTAAATGAAATATCAGATGGTTTCACTCACATTCAAATATAGATTATCCAAACAAAGACACAGACAAAGCCAAACCAAAAACAAACCCAAGAAATTTGACACAGAACTGAGGCTTCCAGAGGGGAAGGGTAGTATGGAGAGCAAATGAATTAGCAGGTGCAATAGACTTTGTTGGGGGTGCAATCGATTTTGTTGGAGACCTCATTAGTTGTGGTGTGTGTGGTATAGCAACATACATCCAAAGAAGTGTGAACATACATTTCTGAATCATATGGAATGTCGCAAGTTAATACACCATAAGAAAAAATACATAAAAAAGAAAATAAAATATTAATTGAATTCATTCTTTCTTACAATCCTAACATCTCCAGCTTTGTTTTTCCTGTCTGTCTAGCTTGCACTTTAACATTCATAAGTACAGGTGATACAAGCACATGTGTGATTTTCTGAGATTCCACAACGTTGGGTTCACTGTTCCTTTCTCCACACTTAATTTTTAGGAAAAGTCACATACAGAAAATTTGTTGTATATCACCTCAACTTGGAATGTTTATTTTTAGACTTTCACTTTCTCCTTTCATATAATGCCTCTTTTATACTTGCTCTGTACTTTACACATATTTGTCCCACCAACATCCTTCGTATTGTATATAATCCCCTTTCATATCTGACTCCTCTGGTTCACTGTGGAGACTGAAGCCCGAAACTTTGGTTTCATTTTTATTATAAGCTCTGGACACTGAAAGAGTGCCTAGTAAATAGTAGGAAATCTATGAGAAATCTTCTATATAATCTATATAATAGATAACTTAAAGCATACACACACACACACAAATTTTTAAAAATGGACTTGTGAAAGCATAATCTCGTTCAGCTTTCCCCATACACCAGTAAAGTTTCTTGGCAATTTCCACATTCAGTGCCATATTTAAATAAGAATCCCATTCTATCTTTTATTTTATTTGTGAATTTATCTTATCCATGAAATAACCTATAGGTTGGTATCCTTAGGTACACAAAACTAGAAAGCAACAAAGAACTCCCATTGCAGTTCCAAATCATATTGTCTTTTATCATTGACATGATATAAAGAAGCCAAGTGATAGAAGTAGATAGTGATCAATCAGTAAGATAGAAAAAAGAATAGCTTCAGGGAATAAGAAAGAGGTGACAAAAAGCTTTGTTTAAATTTAAATAATAAAACAAAAAAATGTTACATACCCAAAGCTTTACTATAATATGAATCCCAAGATTTCCAAAGGGTATTAAACATGTGGTCCTGTAGATGGTAAGAGATGAAATTTCTTATTCTGTCAGTGAAAGACATCTGGTCGGTGAGTTCTGACAAAATAGCAGGAACATAGGAAGGAGGGTATGGTACCTTCCCGCAGTGCTTTTCCACTGTTGAGGCTGGAGAAAACCTCAAGGAATACATAAATGGAATTCCTAATTTTAAAGCTACTATATCTCCACAAGGAAAAACTGGATCTGATACTAGAACATCATATTTGCTTTTCTTCAGCTTTTCCATCAGCTTTGAATTTTGGAGCACACCATCACAGATTTCTCTGGACACTATGTGGAAGTCATTAATGACTTTGGCTATTTCGTGATAGAATCTCCAAATAGTTGAAGGAGATGGCCTATACTCCATCCATGTCAAAACAAAGTCTTTAATTACTCCTTCTATTCTTTCTTTTCCAAAAGCCACCTTGTATATTTCAAATGTCAGAGATGTGTTAGTGGTCGGTGTGATGAAAAGTGCACCAGAGGCAACGAGGACAGTCACATTATGCTCTTTTTTAATAAGCTCATCAATAATCATCTTAACATTTAGCCAGTGACTACCTTCCATTGGCCAAATCAGAACATTCCCACCAAGAGAGATTCCTAGGAGACTTATCTGAAGTATCAACAGTAGCATTTTCTTGTTTAACATGATGTAGCTTGATGTAGAAGATTTGATGAGACTCGTGACACAAATGAGTTTCTGTTTTTCAAACAATAAAAAAAAATTGTTTTCAGTTTTGATTCAAATCATTGATACTCTTAAGAGCCTTTTCTCTACCAAGTGATATTACTCATAAGTTCATATTTTATAGTTATTACAGGCATAGGGTTGACACATGTCATCCCATTCAATACTTGCTTTAGCTTTGGTTGTGATCCTTACTTTCTTTTGTTTTTCTTCTTATTTATTTATTTTTTTAAAGATTTATTTACTTATGCATACAAAACTGGGGTACAGGCCAGAGGTGCAGGGGCAATGAGAGATTCACTAGAGAGAGTGGGGACCAGAACAGGCAGATTGTCAAAGTTTACTGCTGAGGGGAGCAGCAGGCCAGACAGGAGAGGTCTGCGGTGCCATATGGGTCACCTCCAGGGCTAGGGATCAAACTCTCACTGAAGTGGCTGTGGCCAGATTGCAGTGCTGTGCTTTAACTTGTTGCACCACCAGGGAGGGCTGTGATCCTTGCTTTCTAATCCAGTTATTAAACTTTATCCTTTAACATTTTGTGTCTCTTGCTTGTTAAATTTTTACTGTTAAATTGCTTCAAGTCAGTCTATCTCAACTATACATTCAGGCCTAGGTACTGAAACCTTAGATGGGGCCAGAACTCACTCATAAATGTAGAGATGTTAATGCTATAGGCTTTCCATTACCTAAGGTAATTTATATAGTATCATAATGACAATATTACAGTTACTAGTTACCAATAGATAAAATTATCATATAGAATGCTTATATAATAATATAAATGAAAACAATAAATATAATACTTATTGCTAATTTAATAATGTGTTAGGGAAAGTATTTTATCACTGAGAAAAAAGTATAAGTAAATGAACAAACTATATACAAATAATGTAAGAGATGATGGGTAATATTATGATTAAAAAGGAGCTATTCAATAGAGAAAACTGTTAATTTATAGAGAATCATTAATTGTAACATGATTTCATCAAAAGTGCTGTTCAAAAACTAGCCCACCTTGCGAATAGGCTCAGTTTTTAAAAATTGCTAGCATTTATGATGAACTCACTATACTCAGATGTTGTGTGAAGTACTTTATATGTATTAGTCTCATTTCTTTTAGATAAAAAATCCTGTGAGTTAATGTGCTTTAATTATTCCCACATCAAAGAAACTAGTTCACAGAGAAGTTATGTAACTTGTCAGTTTCCTAGAGGAAAAAAAAGCCTTAATGAGGAAAACAGTAACTGGTGGTAACAGTCTGAAGGCTCTTTGGTGCCCAGGTCCTGATGTGTTAAATCCCAGGAGAGATTGCTCCATCAGAGTGCATCGTGTGTCTCTAGGAATTATAAGGCATCTATTTGTGTAGACCACAAACCAGCCCTACAGGCTGACATAACCTTTGTTGTACATAAACTGTACAATATACATTTGTACAACCCATATTAGATAATGTAAGATCAATCATTCACATAAAATAATCTCTATGAAAGTTGATTATGTGTACACTTGTGCCTGTGAATATGAAAGATGATTCATTTTATTTTAATAATTTGCTGAAATTAGATTTCTTATATTTTTAGTGGTGTATCTTCTGAGTTCTCCTATCACCAAAGATGAATTGAAATAAAATGTTGACTGCTTAATCGAAACAGTTACTTTTATAAAGTACTGATCAAAATGAGCAGAGTAATCAATCATACAGTTCATGGGATGGATTGTAGTTCAAGGTTCTATGCAGTATCGTATGCATAAAAATTGCCTGCTGGTGTTAACTTGGTCCATAGTTACTTGCCAGGAGTCTTTAAAATGGTGATTATGATTTGCTAGGATAAAGAATTGGTCATGATATGCCAAAGAAAATTATGATTTTAAACAATTAAATATAATCTCATTCAGTTTCTATTGGTTTATTGAATACAGAACTCCCTATTAGGCAAAAAATTGTATCACAGAGATGCTTCCCATGTTCATTTTATAATCAGTGCAAGATTAGAAAATTAAATAAAAATCAGTAAAAAACATTAAGGTCCACATAGTTTGTGAAAATAACTTAGGGTTTTAGACTTGTAGGTCAAAGAATCCTAAGTTAAGTTTGTGCTAACACTTACGGGGCTAGATTTTCTCAACTGGAAAATCCCAGGAGGGTTTTGTAAGTATGTTAGTAGGACAAATTTTATTTATATATAATAATTAAATAAATGACTTAAATATCACAAATTATTTAATTGTATGTAAAATATATACAATAAATATATTTAAATAAATAAAATAATGTTGATTTCAATAAACAAAGAATCTAGAATAAAGACATGCATTAAAAACTATTATATTTCTCATTTAATACTTTCTCTTCTAAGTGGAGAAAAGTGGTCAGTGCATGCAGATGAAATCACACACAGGTAAAATTTTTCTACATAGTAGATACTGCTTCCAGTTTGCTTATTTGTGTGGCAAGGGAAAGGTATAAGTGTAAGAATATGAATGTCTTCATGAAGAATGCAGTAGTTGACACATCTTGGGAGTCTGAATTTTCTTGTCAACAGCAACCGGCAATGCACATGAAGGAAACCCATGTTTTGCCTTTTAGAAAGGGTTTCAGTAATCCGTAGTAAGAATTTTATAAGACAATAAATACTGCTTGTTTTGTTAAATTTAACAGAAAGCTGGGCCTTCCTTGGTGGCTCAGCAGGTTAGGACACACCACAGCAAGCCACCTGCAGCGGCTTCAGTGAAAGTTTGATCCGCTGCCCCGAGGTGACCCACATGGCACAGCAGACATCTCCTGACCCACACACTGCTCCCCTCAGCAGTATACTTTCTGGATGTACCTGTTCTGCTCCCCACTCTCTCTGGTGAATCCTCTCATGGCCCCTGCGTCTCTGGCCAGTACCCTAGTTCTGTACGCATAAATAAATAAATATATCTTTAAAAAATTAACAGAAAGCTAAATAAAGAAACCATACTGGCTGTAAAACTTTAAAGAGGTGTAAAAAGTTTTTACAAAAAAGAGGTTCTGAATTCATGATTTTAACTTGAATGAACTTAATAGTATTGAAAAGTTACTCTACTTCTTTCAGAACATTTTTGAGATTACACTTAAAATTATGATTGATACTTTTATTAAATCAGAAATAATCAAATAATAAGCCAACATATTTGAAAAGAAGATAGTATATATAAATACATTTTACCATAGATAATATCAACAAAAGATGTGATTTATTTAACTGTACAAAAAAGTAAAAATGGTATTTATATTATCCAAACTGGCTATTGCTTTTACAACAGAATTTTCTTTAGAGAAAGTTTAAATTTCTTTTTATTTAATAAATAAATTTTACTTTGAACCTATATACTATCCATTACACCATATTAAGAAAATGTAATACCCACTAAAGGGTGATATTTTGATACTTATGCACATTCTATTTTAAAGATCATTCAAAATAGAATCAAAGGCTTTTTCAAAGGGAAGTAATGAAACAAACCAAAAGTTAACCCACATACTAGTGATGATTGGTATTTCTTTCAGAAGAAAATATAAAATAAATTCAAATATACATCGAACATTGCTAATATATTGCTTGTCATGAAGTTTTAAAATTTCTTACCTAAAGTTTCCAGCTGGAACTTTAATAATGCTCATTTGCCATTAGGAAGAAGTTGAACTGAAATAAATGTGAGTCGGATAGGTGTAATGTGATGAGAAATATTATCTTAAGCAGAAAGAAGATTATACAGATTTATTTCCTCTTTGAATTACTACCCATGTCATTATGAGGTTGGTTTAATTTTGTTAAAGGCATATCCTTCTACTAGTTCCCACTATAAACACTGCATAGTGCCTTTGCTATCATGATCTCCACGCTCCCTTCAACTTCTACCACCAAGCACTGCCACTATTATCTTATCTGGATGTTTCTGAAATAATGACTGGCAATGATTAATAATCTTGGGTTATTAATAAAAAGTACGGAACATGAATGTATCTTAATCCCAATCAACATTAAATTTTTACTATTTATAAAAATAAATTTAGAGCTCACCCTGGTGGCACAGTGGGTTAAAGCACCACATTATGAAGCTCTCTGAAGCCACTGCAGCATGAGTTTGATCCCCAGCCAGGGAGCTGACCCCCATGGTGTGGCAGACCACCTGCTGTTCACCTCAGCAGTGTACTTTGTCAATCTGCCTGTTAGGTTCTCCATTCTGTCTCTCTGGTGAGTCCTCTCACTGCCCCTGCACCTCTGGCCTATACCCTAGTTGTAAGCATAAATAAATAAATCTATAAAAATATATAAATTTGGAACAGTGTGTTTTCTTTGTTGAGTATTTGTAATGAGTGTGAATGTTCAAAGTAATTTAAATGTCAGAGCTACAATCCTGGTGGTTTTATTGATCTTAGCATTTATACTTTTAAAAGGCACTGATTTAGATACTCAAAGTTGCACCATTTTATTAAACATTCTCAGGAAGGAAATTATAGTTATGTTTCTTTTCCAACTATTTTGAAGGACAAAAATTGATTTAGCAGATTTTAATGTTGTCATAACATGTCTAGGGAATGAACTCATTTAATTATGTGTATCCTTTCAAATTAAAAACATTTTTTGATAACTTTGATTTAAAAATTTTCTTGTTCTGGATAGGTCTTAGTTCATAAAATTAATATCAAATATTTTCTTCCCTGTGTGTATCATTTCTGTATTCCTTTTTTTCTTTTTTAAGATTTTTATTTATTCATACAGAACTGGGGTACAGGCCAGAGATGCGGAGGGTGAGAGGATTCACCAGGGTGAGAGGACAGAGTGGGGAGCAGAACAGGCAGATCGACAAAGGACACTGATGAGGGGAGCAGCGGGCGGGTCAGGAGAGGTCTGCCACGCCATGTGGTCACCTCCGGGACAGGTGGGGACTGAACTCATGTGGAAGTGGCTTATGCTTCTTAGTGCTGTGCTTTAACCCGCCGCGTATGCTTCTTAGTGCTGTGCTTTAACCCGCCGCGCCACCAGGGAGGGCCCCATTTCTGTATTTCTATGAAAAAAAGTATCCCCAGAATTAGTACTTTAACCAACTACTACTTTATCTGCTACCAATTCTGGTGATTAGCAGTTTGTAAGAGGCAGGTTCTGCTCATCTCATTGCGTATATCTTACCTTGTTAGTCATTTAGTGACTTTATGTGATCATTAATTTAATGTGTCAACTTCACTGGCTATAGTACCCTCATATTTGATCAGACATTCTGACTGTTTCTGTGAAGGTGTATTTTGGATGATATCAGCATTTAAATTGGTGGAATTTAGGTAAGCAGATTACCTCCATAATGTTGGACCTCATTCAACCAGATCAATGTCTTACTTACTTGCCTAAGTTAAGAAAGAATTCTGCCAGAAGAGGGCCCTTGAGCAATACTCCCCTGGATCTATAACCTGTTGGCTTACCCTGAATATTTTAGATTTATCAAACTACTGTAATTACATGAATCAGTCCATCAAAAAAAAAAAAAAGCCTCTCTTTCTCTTTCGCTTTCTCTCCCCTCTCTCTCATTTATTCTCTGTCTCTCACCACCCCATACACGCACATCTATCCTTTTTGTATCTCTGGAGAACCCTGATTAAATGTACTCTCTGCGGCTATATTACTTATGATAGCCTCATTTACATGTCCTGCAGCTGATCCTGACCATTGCTGATTGTTTCCAGGCTCCAGTTAGGTGAAGTTTACGCACATGACACTTTCAGAAATGCTGTTTCAAGAAACAAGGACAATACCTTCAAGCCTTCTAGAGGCAAATGTTACGAAGTCACTTTTTACTTTTGTTGACTTTGCAGGAGATCAAACAAATCTTTCGGCTAAGTGTAGAGTCAGAGGGAGGGGAATTATAATGTCCACATTGCAGTCTACCACATTCTCAAAGAGATTCTCAAATTTAACATCCTTGTGATGATGATTGTTATATGGTGTTATTTCTGTTTCCAAATGAAAAATTAAAGGAATAAGAAAGATTAATGTGGGTCTCATAAAATGTATTGGAAGCATTCCCTTTTCAATTTTTTGTGAGATTTTGGGTAGGATGTCACTAGTTTGCATATTAAGATATTGTAGAACTTGTTATTAGTAAGGTCATTGATCCAGTCTTTTTTCCCAGACTTTTGATTACTGTTTTAATTTCCTTCATTGTAGTTGAGGTGTTCAGGTTTTCTGTTTCATCCTAATTCAGTCTCAGAGGTTGAATGCTTTCAAGAAATGCTTCATTTCTTCTAGGTAATCCAATATATGATATAAAAATACTTGTAGTAGTCTCTTAAATTCCATATTCTTACTGAGTTATCTGCCAAAGGAATCAGCTTTTGTTTCACTGATCTTTCAGATTGTTTTGACATAGGTTTTGAGGTTCCTGGAGAGCATTGTCAGCTACTGGCCACATGATGGCAGCACATCCTAAAGCCAGATAAATAACTCGAAGGCAATGCTTCTTGAGGTAAATATGGCTTTATCCTGTTTATTAACATTCATAGCTATCAAATGATACACATTTGTATGTTTTGAAACTACACTTAATATATGTATATATTGCAACTACATTTTTAAATCGTTTCTTTCCAATTCTCAAAAAAAAAATATTTAGCCTTCATTTTATTTTTATTGTAAAAGAACTGAAAATCAGAGAGGTTGAGAATTTCCTGAGAACTAAAGATTGTAATTATGTTTTTCATTATATTTTCATCTCATACACGGAAGAGAATATAGGCAAAACTCCACAGTATTGGCTACTGTGATATCTTGGGGACTCAATGCTACTGGCAAGTAGACCACAAATAATAATAATAATAATAATAATAATGA